GGCTGACGTCGAGGTGGCGGGGGAACGGATGTCGCGCTCCATCCCCATCTGGGCGCCCCACTCGCGCCTCCCCTTGAAAGCCCCCGAAGTTGGACCGACGCCCGCGAGTTTTGGAAGGCTTCACTGAACCCGAAGCCGAGGCGGGTCCCGAACCCAGTCCTCCCCGAGTTCCTCAATCCGCGAAGCCCAAGTTGGGGGCCAGAGGACGCGGTGTGGGGGACCCTGGTGAGGAGTTTGTTCCCGCGGGCGCAGCGCCCCGGGCCTGGCGCTGTGCGGTTTCGGGCGCCTCCACCCTCTCTGGGCCCTCGGGAACCCCGCTTGGCAGCGTGCGGAGAGGATCTGGCTGCTGGACCTTCAGGACTCGCGGCCGTGGGGGAGGGTCTGCTTTCCGCCTGGGCCTCGAGCTGGGGCCAGAGGCTGGGAGGAGGCCGCGTTGAGTGGGAAGCCCAGGCCCCGGGACTGGGTGAGGCCTGGATCTCGCACTGGGGGCGCGGGTAGCCCCAGCGGCTCGGGGTGGGGGGCGGGAGCCAGCGGGGTGACTTCATCTCCCTCCTCCCGGCCCTGGCTAGGCTCCTTCCTCCTTGCCGCAGATCCCCACCCCTCTGTCCCCACCCCGCCGGGCAGGGCTTCTTTGTCCCTCCGACACTCCTGATAACTCCCACACTGTCGCGTGTGGGGCTGGGACTGGCGAGGGGCCTCCGGGAGGGGGGAGGAGGAAGAGGCCGGGCAGAGGGAGACCAGAGGAGGGACTATGCAACTTGACAATACCTGTTTTCATTCCCACTTGTGGATTTGGGGAGAGAATGCCAGCAGAAGCAGTTAGGGGCTTCAGCAGGTGGCTTGGTTGAGGGGCCAAGTTATAGGAGGAGTGTGGGGATTGAGGAAATATTCTGCCCCAGGACCTTTCCCTGGAACCCCATGGCAGAGGGCAAGAGGTGGTTCTACAGCCTTTTATGACTTGGGGGCAGCGCAGGGGTCAGCAGCCCAGCACCTACTTAGCTCCCAAGTGAGGCGACAGGCAGACCCAGGGACTACACTCCCAGGGACAGCCTCCAGGTTGGCCACCTCTACCTGCCCCCTCACCTCTGGACCTCCAGCCCCACCCCACCAGCACAGCCTCCTGGGTAGGGGGTAAGATTGCCAGCCAGGGTCACAGGCCCTTTGGCCTAACTGAGTGCAAGAATCCAGGAGGAGGAGGAGGAGAAAGGGAGGAGGAAGGAAGGGTAGGGGTGGGTACCCAGGATACAAGGGAGATCTTCCTAGTCACTCCTTCCCCCTGGTCACCTTCCTCTCACCCTTAGGCCCAAGCAAATGGGAAGGCTGGACAAGGAGCGGGAGGGAAGAAAGTGGCCACCAAAAATGAGGGAATAATAAAATGGGAATCAAGGTGGGTTCCCCAGAATCCAGTTTGAGGGGGCATGGGAGGCTGGAAAGGGAGGAACCAAGAAAGCCTTTGGCTGGGGAAATAAGAGCTGTGGACAGGGCCGCGCAGAGCCTTGCCTTCCTGGCAGAACCTGGCAGCTTCAGCGCCCCTCTGCCTTCATTTCCAATCTGTCCAAGATGGCAGTGGGCCCCTGGGGAGGCTTAGCTACCCTCATGGCCCTGTTCAGGGCAGACCAGAGTGCCCTGGGGACTCCCTGGAGTTCCTGCAGCTCATTTGTTTGAAACAGCCACAGTGCTTCCTGTGGGGCATCTGATGTCCTTGTAGGCCTCCACACAGCCAACCCCTGAGCCCCACTTCAAGCTAGTCAGCCATGGACATTCTCAAATCCAACCACAGTGACAGAAACCAGGGTAGATGAAGGCCTCCAGGGCCCACAGATCAACAAGCCCTGGTTCAAATTCTGGTGCCTCTTATTAGCTGTGTATCAGAGTCTGCTCATCTATGAATAAGGGCTGTGAACAGCGCCTGGCCAGTGAGTATCAGAGGAGATACCCATGAGTCTCAGCAGGCCCTGGGAACAGAGGAACCACTGACCCATCCAACAGCCCCATGTTCTTGGTCTGCCCTGCACTGCACACCATCTGCAGGGCTATCGGGGCCTCAGCATCCTCTACACCTACAGCCTTTTGGGCAAAGCTGCAGTGAACATTTTGATTCTTATGTTCAAGTACAGCTAGCTCCACCTTTCATAAAGGCTGGCTGTATGCAGGCTACAGCAGGGCCCAGATGTCAGGGCCAACATACCTTCCCTGGGTAGTTTTTTCCTTCTTATTAAGAAAATTTTATGTGACTACATAAAAGAGCTGAAAGATTTATATTATTCATCTCATACATCCACCACCTAGATTGTATAGTGGTTAATACTTCGCTATATCTGCTTTGTCACCTATCTCCAACCCATTTTTATGTTTTGATGCAAACTAAATTGCAAACCTCAGTACATTTCAACTGTAAACACTTCAGCATGCATATCATTAACAGATCAAGATTTGTTTTTTGTTTTTCAGATAAAATTTATATTCAGCAAAAAGTCCATATCTTGGGGGTTGGATGTTACTTTTTTGAAACTGGTTGCTATTTAGTTTTGGTTTGCCCCTGCTAGGCACCATTTGCATTGGGTGGATTCTGTCAGAAAGCCAGTAAGGGGAAGGGTAAGCAGCCCCAGGAAGTGGCCTCCTGGGGGGCTGGATGCACATGGGAGGGTGGGGCTTCAAGATTGGGTGCTGGCAAAGGCCAAGGCTCAGCATCATGCCCAGAAGGACTGAGGCTGCCTGGGTGTGGGCCTGGGCTTCATGAGGGCTTTCATCCTAGCTCTGCCATTTCTAGCTACAGGACTGAGATATTCTGGACTGCAAGGCCTGGACCAGGCAAGAAGAGGCTCTGACTGTGCCCTACTTCCCTACAGGGTCTTTCCTTTATCACCTTCATCTGCTATGTGGTATCCTCAGCGTCTGCCTTCCTCACAGTGCCTCTGCTGGAGTTTCTGCTGGCCCTCTACTTCCTCTTTGCTGATGCCATGCAGCTGAACGATAAGTGGCAGGGCTTGTGCTGGCCCATGATGGTGAGGACCAGGGAAATCAAAAGGGAGGGGTGGGCTCTGATGATATTCATCACAGAGCATCCATATGAGGAATCCAGAGTCCTGCATTTCAACCATGCCCGGTCTTCAGAGAACTGGTGGGACAGTTTGCAGCTGGTAATCTTCAGATAATCCAGGCCCCACCATCCAGCAGCTGGACCTAAAGCAGGTTGTGGCATCTGCAAGGCAGATCTGTGAAGCAGGGAACCTGGCTGGAGGCCGTCTCTGACCACCAGGTGGCGCTGTTGCTCCCAGTGGGGTCGTGGAACCCAGGTCAGCCACAGGAATTCAAGTCATTTTCAGAGGCAGGGCAGGTTAGCTTACTTGCAGAGCTTACCCAGACTTAAACATATGGCATCCTAGCATTGTTTGATCACCTGGGAGCCTCAGACCCCCGCCAGTGGCCTCTGCTAAATGAATGTGCTGTAGAAAAAAGACAGCAAAGGCTGGGCTCCAACCCTGGTCTCTTGGCTTTACCTCCAGCATCCATCCTTTCACCCTCTGGGGAGGGCTGCTCCTCCATCCATAAGCAGAAACCAGGATCCATAAAGGGATTGGCCACAGTGTGTGGCAAAGCGAGGCCAAGGGCCAGGTCTCCCTATTGGAGAATCTGAAAGGAACAGGTTGACCACATTTCCAGCTTTCACCATCACCAAAGGGCCAAGCCATAGAGCAAGCAGGGTCAGGGTCAGGGCAGTGTCAGCCCTGACAGGAGGCATGGCAGGAGGGATGACAAGGTTCAGGACAGGGCAGGACTCCACAGTTGCTAGACCTGGGTATGCCAGGACCTGGCTGCCAGGCCCCCTCCACTCTGTGCCCCACTCCAGAGAGCTCAGGATGGTGTGGCCATGCCCCTCTCTCCCCAGGACTTCCTGCGCTGTGTCACCGCTGCCCTGATCTACTTCGTCATTTCCATCACAGCCGTCGCCAAATACTCAGATGGGGCTTACAAAGCAGCTGGGGTGAGCAGCAGCTCTGCCTCTGAGAAGAGGGTGCCAAGCAGTGTCCCCCTCTGAAGCTCTGATTCTTCTCTGGATACTCGATGGGGTGGGACCTGGGAATATCCTTTTCCTGCTTGGACCTCTTGGGATCCCTGTAGGTCTCAACTATTCCAGAGTCCTCTTATTTATTCTGCCCTGAGTTTTAAAACGCTGATTGTCAAGCCAGGCTCACAGCTTATTTCCCCTTATTTAGAGGGTCTGTGTCTATCTGGCTGGGCAGCTTCTTAGTGCCACCCCCCACCATGCCCAGCTTCTTGGACCAGGGACTCCAAGCTTCTAGTGATGTACTCTATCTACCCTGAGCAATGTCCCCTGCCACATTCCCTGCGTCTGTCCCACAGGTTTTTGGCTTCTTCGCCACCATCGTGTTTGCAATTGACTTCTACCTGATCTTTAACAACGTGGCTAAATTCCTCAAACAAGGAGACACCACAGAGGAGAACACAGCCCAGAGGGCAGAAGGTCAGTGATTGCCCTGAGGTTTCTGCCAGGGAACCCAGCTGAACACCTCTAGGATCACTATTGGGGCCTTGTCCTCCCTTGGGGACACTTTGCTAATCTGAACCTGACATAGGGCCAGGAAGTGTTTTTATAGCCTCATTGTCATATCCCCTCATGCAGTCACAAAACCTGTCCTACCTAGGGCCTGGGGCTTTCAAGGAGGGGCAAGCTGAACACATGCCCAGACCTTTGGCCCTACAAGGCTCCCATCATAGACGAATCTTCAGGGTAGCCAGTCATTCTCAGGACAGTTCTCCACCTGGGATCCAGAGTAACCACCTCCCTGGATCCTGCTTCCTCTGTAGTCTAGCCTGCCTCGGCCGGGGACCAGGGACCCGGGACCCAATCTCTCATCCTTTTTTTTTTTTATTGGTTATTCAAAACATTACAAAGATTGCAGAATCACATCTACATTTTTACATAATGCCATAATAGTAACTGTTGTATTCTGCTACCTTTCCTATCCTCTACTATCCCCCCTCCCCTCCCCTCCCATCTTCTCTCTCTACCCCATCTACTGTAATTCATTTCTCTCCTTATTTTTTCCCATTCC